ATGGAATCAGAGTGGGGAGTAGGCCTCCGTGGGGCGTGGGGCTGAGTGCCTTATTCTAGAGCAGGCCCCTTTGTGGGGGGACATCACTCTTTGGAGGCCTGCGCCATCAGCATGCCAGCCACAGGCCCTGGCACCACCCTCAAACACACTGGGAAGGGGAGGTGACAAATGCCAGTTGTCCACAGATTGCTCAGATCTTTTACTTTATAGTCACCTGTCCATGTATATACATAGAGGCCTCTGGCTTCTGGGGAGCATGGTACACTGGAGAGTGCTGGCTTTGCGCAGAGAGCTGGTTTGGCATAGGGTCCACCATTCCCCTTGGGGGCCTGGAGAACTGACCCTGACAGTGACTGCCTGGCCTTAACAGGGCTGGCAGCAGGATGAGGGGAGCAGCCAGCCCCATGCCATGTCCCTCATCACCAGGGCCTCCGGCAGGCGGGTTGCCTGGCCACCTGGATGTCCCCTGTCCTCTGTCACACTTTCAGTGTCGTGCACCCACCCATGCTGGCGTTTGTCACAATGTGCTGGAGTTATCTGTGCCATTTGTTGTTTCTGTGGCCAGCTGAGTAGTCTGTGCACCTCCATCCCCAGGCCTGGCACGGGCGACCATCGTGGGAAAGGATGAGTTTGCAGGCTGTGTGCCCCCACAGATGAGGCCATCTGCAGGCTGCCCTGGTGGGCTGTGTGGGGCCACAGTGATGCCTGCAGAGAGTGGCTCTGCTGGGAGGACAGGCAGGTCAATTTGTGCTTTTAACTGTAGATGTTTATATTGCAGTAGAATTTTTTTTAAAAAGGGAGAGAGTGCTCAGCAGTGCTTCCGAGAAATTAGGAAGATTAGATATTTCTGGGGGTTTGGCAAGCTGTAAGCGACAAGGGGACGTGCTACCCTGTCCACCATGGGGATTGGCCACTGTCTGCAGGCCGGGAGTCCCCGCAGGAGACAGTGCCCGCCACCCGCCTTCTCCCATCTCAGCCGAGTGCTGGCTGTGGCCGTGCGCAGGTCAGCCTTGGTGGAGTCAGCCATCTGGGGGGTTGGCCGCAGCCTCCGCCGGGTCCAGCGCCAGTCGCAGACCCAGATCAGACCCAGGGGCATCTTGGCTAGCTCCTGCCCTTAGGCGAGGCTGCGACTGTTGGGGTCTGGGCACAGGTCATGTGTGTGCTGTGCTTTGCCAGCTCAGCACAGGGTCCCAGCAGAGTTCCATGTTTCCCTGGGCACAGCAGTCTGAGATGCGCTTCACCCTCACAGGCTAGCTGGGCATTCCCTGGCAGTGGCTCTGTTTGAATGGGAGTTGGGAACGAGTGCTACAGTCATGCCAGTTCTGCCATCTGGGCTTTGACAAGCCTCCAGAAACTTCCAGTGGTTAACGAAGTAGAGTAGAACTCAGTGGCCAGCCCTGGGCTACTGACCAGCAGATGTGTTTCTCAGATGGGTGGCTGGCTAGTGCCTGGTCCTGCCCTCCCACCAGCGTCACGCGTGTTCCCACACGGAGCCCTGGGTCGGAGTGCATGAGAAAGTGGTCCATTTCCCAGAGCCCCTGAGAGCCCTGGGGCCACGGCGTGTCCTCCCCAAGCATTGACTCGGCTTCAGTCTCTTCTCACGGGAACCGCTCACAGCCCCGGAGCCCAGCCACCACGCTGAACTGTGGTCTTCTCCCCTACATGCCAGAGTGGGACCCAAAGCCTTGGCCTTGGAGGGAGGAGAAAGCTGCCTTTGTTGGCTTCCCCTCGATCTGGAAAACCATCACACGGCCAGCCCCTCGCTTTGCCAGCAAGTCCCTAATCCCAGCTTCAGAGCTAAAGACCCGAATCGGGCCTTTGTGAGGAGAATAAAGGAGTGCTTTCTGATCCTTTCAGGAGATCAGGCATCTAAGCTATTTCTTCCTGCCCAGTGTCTGGTCATGGGCTACTTGGGGAGCACGGCCCAGTTACCTGTGGAGGTGAGGGTGTGTAGGCACCCTTGGTCCTCAGCTTTCAAGGGGCCTCCCCTGAAACCCCCAATGCCGGGGAAGGTCGCCTGTAACATCCTGTGCGTTTCCTCTGCCCAGCATGTGGGCTGGCCTGTGGGGCTTGCGTGGACATGCCAGCGTTTTCCCAGGGCCTCCTGCTGGCAGGGCTTTGCTGTCACAGACACTGCAACAGAGAGCGTTCCTGGGTCCCACCCTGGGGTGCAGGCACCTGTGCACAGGGGATTGCCGCATTTTCCTGGGAGCCCCATGCTGATGGAATCAGAGTGGGGAGTAGGCCTCCGTGGGGCGTGGGGCTGAGTGCCTTATTCTAGAGCAGGCCCCTTTGTGGGGGGACATCACTCTTTGGAGGCCTGCGCCATCAGCATGCCAGCCACAGGCCCTGGCACCACCCTCAAACACACTGGGAAGGGGAGGTGACAAATGCCAGTTGTCCACAGATTGCTCAGATCTTTTACTTTATAGTCACCTGTCCATGTATATACATAGAGGCCTCTGGCTTCTGGGGAGCATGGTACACTGGAGAGTGCTGGCTTTGCGCAGAGAGCTGGTTTGGCATAGGGTCCACCATTCCCCTTGGGGGCCTGGAGAACTGACCCTGACAGTGACTGCCTGGCCTTAACAGGGCTGGCAGCAGGATGAGGGGAGCAGCCAGCCCCATGCCATGTCCCTCATCACCAGGGCCTCCGGCAGGCGGGTTGCCTGGCCACCTGGATGTCCCCTGTCCTCTGTCACACTTTCAGTGTCGTGCACCCACCCATGCTGGCGTTTGTCACAATGTGCTGGAGTTATCTGTGCCATTTGTTGTTTCTGTGGCCAGCTGAGTAGTCTGTGCACCTCCATCCCCAGGCCTGGCACGGGCGACCATCGTGGGAAAGGATGAGTTTGCAGGCTGTGTGCCCCCACAGATGAGGCCATCTGCAGGCTGCCCTGGTGGGCTGTGTGGGGCCACAGTGATGCCTGCAGAGAGTGGCTCTGCTGGGAGGACAGGCAGGTCCCGTAACTGCCACCTATAAGATAGGCTCACTGGGGCTGCAGGGGCATGCTGCCCAGGTTCCCCTGGAGTCCCACAGGCTGCCCCCACAGGCGTCAGTGTGGCCAGTGCTGTGCCACATGGCCCTGCACAGGAGGGTGGGAAGGTGAGCGCGTTTCAGGCAAATGTCAAGGGCCCCTGTAACGAAGAGATAGGAGAAGACAGGCGGGTGGCAGCCTGTGCAGTCTCCTTCCAGGTGACCAGCACGAGCGTCCTGCACATGTGGGCCAGCAGAGGGGCGGCTGCGAGCCATGTCCAGCCCTGCATCTCCATCCTGTCCCCATTGCCCGGACACCCACAGAAGGGGCTCAAGGAGAGTTCTGAACTTGAATTGGGTGGGTCAGAGGTGGCAGCTGTGCCTGCCACCTACCGCACACCCAACACTGACTTTCAGAGCCCACAGAGTCCCTGCCACCAGGACAGCACTGTGGTGGCCAGAGGAGTGAGCAGACTCTGTACCCAGACTCGGCTGAGGGTGTCACCACTCGGGCCAGGGGAGGGGTGGGGACCCCTGTGCTGCTTGGCGACTGGATTGGCAGGGAGGAAGCCATTCCAGTCAGGACTCCTGGTGGCCCTCGGGCACCCCTGTGTTCAGGAAGCACCAAGCTCCTCCTGGTCTTGTGGCTCTTGCCTGGAGCTCCTCTGTGCTGGAACTGGAGCCTGCAGCCCCACCTCCGGTCTGCGCCATCCCGTCCCAGGAGCTGCGGCCTGGGCCTCTATGTCCTCCTTTGCAATAAGGGCTTGGCACTGTGCCTCGCGGGGTGGGTGGGAGCCTCAGAGACGTTGGCACGCCTCCCTGGAGCCTCAGCCCCACCCACCCCCGGGCTTGTGTCTGTCATCTGGGCCTCTGCCTGCTGTCCTTTGGATTACACACACACACACACACACACACACAGATGTATTGACTTTCTCACATATAATCTCATGCATTCACACCCATATACACGCTCACATTTGCACACATTCACACGCTCACACTTGCACACACGCATTCACACCCATACACACACTCACATTTGCACACATTCACAGGCTCACACTTGCACACCCCCCCCACTGTGGAGAAGAGCCATGCCTGGGGCTGGGGTGGGAGCCGGTGTGCCGCCCTCTGCTTCCTAGAGGGGCCCCAGGGACCTGGCCAGGGACTTTCATAGTCGCACATTTTCAGTTTAATTTAAAATGTCATCTGTGAGAAGCAACAGCTCCCATTCCCATTGCAGCTCTCCCCTCCCCTCTGCAGGCGGTAGGGCAGCCCGCAGGCTCCCCCACAACCCCACTCAGGACCTGATACCTGAGGGCGAGAGTTAATTGGAGGGAAAAGCCACCACTTTATTGAAAGCATTTCTCAGGCTTCCCTCCCCCTGGGGACCATGTAGCATGTGCTCTTCCCTGTGGTGTCTGTCCCTGCTGTGTGTCCATGCCTCGGTTTCCACAGCCGCAGCCCGGCAGCTTGACCCGGTCCTGACTGGCTCGGAGCAGGCTTCCGGGGGGCTCAGCCCTGGGTGAGCAGCTGGAGTTCGTGCTTGTGGCCTGCGTGTGGGTCCCAGGCCTGCCGAGAGGCACACGCCCCCTGAGGGCTGCAAGCGGAAAGCGTCTTGCTCTGCAGGGTCTTCTGTGTGGCCCTGGCTTGGGCAGGCCGTGGGGGTCCTGCCAAGTGCTCCAGGCACCGGGCCTGGGGTGGCCGGAGGTGGGCACATGGTGTCCATATGTCCCTGACCCCTGCCTCCACGTTTGCAGCAGCTCCAGGGCCTCAGCCCTGCGCAGATGTCCCCAGGCCCCAGGCATCAGGATGAGGGCCTGGGGCCCATGGCCCCTTGGGCTGCAGAGCCCGGGGCTGCCTCCTGTCCCCTCCCCAGGGCTTGGGGGTGGGGGGCACGTGGACTCCTGGGGGCTTCTGGGTCCTCTGAGCCCCGACTCAGCTCAAGGTGGAGCTGCCTGCCACAAGTACCCTGGGCCTGGCGCTGGGACATGCCCTGGAAACCAGTCTGTCTCTTCAGCAGGGTCCCCAGGCCACTTTTGCTGAGCTGGCTGACGATGACAAGATCCTTAGCGAGGGTGACAGCATATGGCAGGGCCAGGAGCAGGTGCTGCTTCCCGAGATCACCGAAGAGGACCTGGAGGCCATTCGGCTGCGTGAGGAGGCCATCCTGCAGATTGAGGTGCAGGCCCACATGTGTGTGTATGTGTGTACAAGTGGGTGTGCAAGGGTGTGTGTGGCCTCCTGTCCCTTGATGCTGGAAGTGCATTTAGAATGCAGCAGTTGGACGGCTGGCAGAATCATGCTGCCTCTCGGTGGGGTCCAGCCCCAACTTGTGGCCGTGGGTGGTGGGGTCTGGCTTCTGGCCATGTGCTTGCACTCCGCCCTCTGGGCCACTATGTCCTTGTCAGCAGACATTGGAGCAGGTGCTCTCTGAGGGCCTCCCTGACCTGAAGTTCACAGGGGCTGGGCTTGGGAAACAAATGTCCCCTAAAAGCAGCTTCTAGAAAAATGGACCTGGGCGAGTTGGTAAACCAAAACACTGGCTCAGGGCCTGTCACTGTGTCTGCTCTCCTGGAAGGTGTGGGTGCCCTGCAGGGAGGTGGGGTTCGGCCCTTATATCTGGGTCTCCCCCCTGGCCCTGCTGCCTCCTCCGAGCAGCCCCGGCAGGATGCAGCCTGGGGAAGACAGGCCTCTTCCTCTGGCTGTGATGGCCCAGAGACTGACCGAACACACGATGTCGTGACAAGATGGGCTTTTCCTGGAGAAGCGGAGAAAGGGATCTAGGAACTGTTGCCCCCAAAGACTCGGGGCTCTGGGAGACAGAGGCGCCCACTGCTCCTTCAGTTCAAGAGCTGAAACCCCTGGGCAAGGGCCCCTGACAGCCTCTCAGGCCCGGGGAGGTGTCTGGGCTATGGTGGGTGGTGGGAAGGGGCTGCAGGTTGGGGGCAGGGCTCTGCCCTTGATAGGTTTGGCCTTGGCCTGGCACCCAGGAAGTAGGGGCTGTGGCAGGCTGCCCCCCAGGGAAGGCTGGCGTTCCTGAGCAGGAGGGGGCTTATGTCTGCAGGCAAGATGGGTCATGGGGTTCCAGTGTGACACCTTGCTAGGGGCCAGCGTGCAGCTGCGTGCCAGGGCAGCAGCCCCCAGGATGGGTCAGACGGCTGCCAGCCTGGCTTCTGTGCTAGCGGGGTTTTCTCATGCCCTAGGCAGCTGGCCTGGGTGCTGCTCTGCATGGTGAGTGCAGAGGGGCCCACGGGGAGGCTTGGCAACGGGTCAGCTGGGACGGAGGGGCCCTCAGTCTTGCTGTGGCCATTAGAGCCGAGCTGGAGTTGGCCGGAGGACCGCGTGGGTGGTGGCCAGCCTCTCCTCGTGTCCTGTTTCCTCATCAGGAGCACAGGTCAGGAGACCTTGTGGCTGGCCAGGAGGCTCTGTGCACTGACCACCACACCCGGGGGTCCTTGGAAAGCGGCTGTCATTGTGTTTGCAGGGCCCTTCTTCAGGTATGCAGTCTGTCCTGGTGACAGTGCCTCCCAAACATGGCCAGTGATGGAGGCCTGCAGCACCCACCAGGAGTGCATGGAGTGAGGTGGCAGATGCCTGGCAGTCTGAGGGGCAGGTGGGCATCCCTAGCTCCTCCAGGGCCAGTCTGGAGCCCACTGCTCGGGGGTCTCAGTAGTTTCTGTCCAGAGCCACAGCAGACGGTGGCTGGGGTAATGGACCAAGGTTCGGGGCAGGGGTTTCGGGGAAGGGGCTGTGGGGGCAGCCTCAGGGGGATGTGGGGAGCCCACACTGGCTGCCTTCAGACTGTTGCTGTGGGACCGAGCTGACTCCTCACCCCCTCCCACTGTTCCTGAACTCCATCACCTGTGTCCCCACTTCCCCCGGCCACATGTTGGGGGATTTTGGATTTATGAGATGATGTGTTCATGAAGTCACAGAGGTAGACTTGGGGTCCAGCAGAGCCCCCTTTGAGGCCCTGATCTGCCCTCAAGGACTTACCTTATTGGGTAGGGGGTGGGGGTGTTGACAGATGGGGAAACTGAGGCCCAGTAATGGAATTAAGGTTGCAGTAGCAGGCTAGTGTTTCATTTGATTCCTGTGTGCCTGTCTGTCTGTTCTGCATGTGGGGGGCATCCATGGGGTGGTCACAGGGCTTGGTGCTGAGGGTCAGAGCTGATGTCTCCACTCAGTGTCCCCCTCCTCACGTTAATCCTGCTGGGGTGCCGTGTCCTGGCTTTAGTCCCACTGACCTTGAACCTGCCATTTGCCTCTATTGTTCCATGTATGAAGTGGGCGGGTGGAGGGGTGGCCTCTCTCTCCAGGGCTGTGCTGTCTCAGACAGCCTGCATGTGGCAGAGTGTAGCAGGCCCTCTGGGGGGCTGTCCCAGGCCCTGGAGGGTGGTGACAGCCTGTCGGGAGCCAGTGGAGTGCCTTGGCTTACAAGGGACCGTAGAGTGAATGAGCGGAGACAGTGCTGACCTGGGGGTGCGGGTACCCCATCCGTGATCCTGGGCCCTTCCTTGGCCCAATGGGCTGACCTGGCCCTGGCCCAGTTAGGTCCTGAGTGAGTGGGGGTGTCCTGCTCCCAGGGCTCTGTAAAGGCCTCCACCCTACCTCCCAGGGCAGCTGTGCTCTGCCAGCACAGCGTCCTTTAAGACCTTTGAGGCCCCCACCTGTGAGCTCACCCCGTGCTCCTCCCCCAGCCTGGACACCCAGGGACAGGCTCTGCTGCTCCTCGGGCCCCTCGCCCCCTGCCTCCCCTGATGCCCGGAATGGGCCTCACCTGCGCTGCTCTGGCTTCATGCCAGCTTTCCCACTGCCCAGAATCCTTTCCCCAGAGCCTGGCACTGCTGGCTGCTGCTCGCCCTGCCCACCAGCGCCCTGAAGCTCGGGCCGGGCTGGGTGTCCTCCGGAATGGGTCTTCCCTTCTGGTGTTGGGGTGACCCCCAGGGCCTGCAGGCACTTGCTTGGCGGATGACCCCATAGAGCTGGCAGTGCCCCCAGGCCAGTGGTTATCCTCCCAGTGATGGAGGCCTGCCCAGCACCCCACCTCGGGGGACATCATTGTCCACCTCGATGGGTGCCATTGTCCTTCGGCTCACTGTTGTGGTGGCTTACTGTCTGGGTGGCTCACTGCCTGCTTGTCCAGTCCCGGGCACGCTTTTTAGCAGTGTTGCTGTCCAGGGGTGTGAGGGGGGCCTGGAGGCCTGCAGATGGACTGGGCACCCTGCTTCTGCCCCTCAGCATGTGTGAGGTGCCTACATGGAGCCATGGCACCTAGGTGCCCCTCCCACCCCCAGGCCAGGTCCCTTTGCCTGTGACTAGACCCTTGCCCCAGAAAGCCCCATGCACTGTCACCTCACCCCCTGCTTCCACTTCCTCAGCAGAACTATTTAGCCCTGGGTGAGGTGCCCCAGCCCTGCTCAGCCCCAGAGGCCAGGGCTGCTCAAGGCACCCTCCCCCGACTGAACACACCTGCCCCAGGGCCTTGTCTCGGCTGCCCTTTGACCTGAGCCCTGGCCTCCCAGGCCTGGACCACACATGCTTTCCCATTCTGGGCTCCACCGCACACTGCCATGTACCAGCACTGTGGCCTCCCTGCCCTAGCAGAGGGCAGTTCCGGGCCCTCCCTGGGCCTCAGTTTCCCTTCTGGGAAGTAGCGGCCTTCTCATACTGGGGCCACCAAAGTGTGTGGAGTGCCAGGGTGGGGCCCGTGGAGCTGTGCAGGGTGTGTGCAGCCAGGGTGGGTGGAGGCACTGGGAGGTGGCACCGGGAGGCTGGGTGGCCTGGGAACCCCCCACCCACTAAGTACCTCCCCCACCGAGTCCACAAGTGGGTGAGTGGTGGGCTAGTGAGTGGCTGCCTGCTGTCCTCAGAGCCCATGCTGGGCTTCTCCCTTGTCATGTCCTGGGTGAAACGGGCCGAGCAGCAAAGTGCCTGGTGCAGGGGGGCTTCGGCCATCAGGAGTGTGTCCCTGGCTGGTCCCTGTCTACTCACTGCCTCAGGAATGGCCTTGCTTGGCCTGTGGACCCCTTGGAGCAGGAGGCCTCAGTGGCCAGCCCCTTCCAGCTGCAGGAGCCCGGGGGTAGCCTGTGCTGCAGTGGGCAGACTGTGAGCTGCCACGCCAGCCTGGGCACAGGGGTCCCAGCAGATGCTCATGGGGAGGCAGGACATCGTCACCCAGTTCCTGATAGGGCGGGCACACAGCTGCATTCCCCAGTCTGAACCCTGCCTTGGGCACTACTGGCGTTTGACCCGGAATTGCCCGGCATCTCTGGGCATGGGAGCGTCAGGGGGGCCAGCCAGGCCTACAGGAAGGTCTCTGCGACAGGAGGGGTGAGGGCTCCGCCCACGTCCTGCGGAGTGCTTGGGCTCCTCTCTGGGGCTCCTTCTCCCTGTCGCTGGTCCCAGGTGGGCCAGGCCTTGGGCAACACCAAACCAGGGTCCGCGGGTCAGGATGTCGGGTGCTGCCAGGCTGCGTACTGGTAGCCTGCGGCCTCCTTACCCTCGGCTCTCTGTGGAGTGGAAGAGGGGGGGTGATTTCCACCCCGTGATAGCAAGCGTGAGCTGTGACGGGGTTGGCAGTGCCGAGGCTGGGGCTGGGCAGGGGGAGCCCAGTCAGGCCGTGTCCAGGGGCTGTTCCCCGCCCCACTGGGGCTGCTGGGTCCCAAAGAGCAGCAGCTCTGCAGGCCCGCTTGCTGCCTCTCAGTGGTTTGTCTACCACTGCTGTGCAGGTGCCGCCAAGCCACGCTTCCTCCGGGGCCTCAGCCCTCCCCTCCCTGGGGCCTGGCCTGTTTCCACTGGCCGTGCGCCCTCCATCCTGTGCCCTCTACAGCTGGCATGCAGGCCCCAGGAAGGGTGCTGGGGGCCCTGTGGCCAGCCCGGATGGAGCCCGCTCAGCCAGCCGGCAGCCTCTCGCACCCCTCTTGCCCCGAGTCCCTGTCAGCTGTTTCCCAGTCTTGTGGGTGGTTGGAAACAGGGTGCCCTCAGATAAATGGCCTGCGGGACACTTTGAAAACTGGAATGAGGTGGCTCCTGAGGACCAGGTGACAGAACTGCCTCTCAGGAGGGGCAGGAGGGGTACCTTCAGGGCCACACAGGCCTTCTGGAAAAGTCAGACCCTCGGTGGAGTCCCCTCTCCTAGGGGTGTCCTCCCAGAGGACAGAGGGAAGGTGTCAGGGC